TTCCAGCATCTGTGGTTTCCTGACTTTTTAATGATCGCCATTCTAACTGGCATGAGATGGTATCTCTTTATCTGTGGTTTTGCTGTCTGCAGTAACCTGAGGTCCAAAAATATTAAATACAAAATTCATAACTTTTGAATTGCACACTGTCCTGAATAGTGTGATGAGATTTTGTACTGTCCCACTTGAGATATGAATCATCTTTTGTCCAGCATATCCACGCTATATATACTATACATCCAAAGATCAGATTGACAGATCTTTTCAGATCATTTCAGGTCACCAAGAAAGGTGAGTACAGTACAGTAAGATATTTTGAGAGAAACCATATTCACATAATTTTTATTACAGTATATTATCATTGTTCTATTAGTTATTGTTAGTCTCTTACTATGCCTAATTTATAAATTATCACATATATCCTAGGAAAAAAAACAGTATTTATAGGGTTTGGTACTATCCATGTTTTCAGGCATCCACTAGGGGGTCTTGGAATGTAGCCCCCCTGCACATAAAGGGGAACTTTGAAAGAAAACTGAAAAAAATGAAATTAAAAAAAAACAACAAAGGTACTTAGTGATATTAATGTTTAGTACACATACAAAAATGGCTTGCTGAAGCAAAACAAATGGAAACAACCACAACATACTCCAAACATGATTCCCAATAAGCAATTCAGTGGGTAAAATAAAGGAGTGGGCCAGGTGCAGTGACTCATGCCTGTAATCCCAACACTTTGGGAGGCCAAGGCAGGTGGATCACTTAAGGTTAGAAGTTTGAGACCAGCTTGGCTAACATGGTGAAACTCCATCTCTACTAAAAATACCAAAATTAGCCAGGAGTTGTGGTGCACCTGTAGGCCTAGCTACTTGGGAGGCTGAGGCAAGAATCACTTGAACCTGGCAGCTGGAGGTTGCAGTGAGTGGAGATCCACCACTGCACTCCAGCCTGAGTGACAGGGAGAGACTCCATCTCAAAATAAATAAATAAACAAATAAATAAATAAATAAAATAAAAAAATAAAGGAGTGGATAGTCAGTGCTTGCTACTTGAAGCATTGATACAAGGCACTTGTCTCTGTTTAGTGACTGAGAAAAACGTACTATATTGTCAGCACTCATGCTGTCTTAGCACACAGCCTAAATATTTTAACATTCTGCCTACTGAAGTCTAGTTAACAACTCTGTGGCTTTTTTGTCTTTACTTTTAATTTCTAAGCCAACCGATTTTTCTGCCTTACTGGAACACTTGTTTTTCTCAGGCCATAAAGAAAATAGCAAACTACTAATATACAGAGCATGGATGAGTCTTAAAATTTATTATACCCAGTTAAAGAAATCACAAAAATACTATATAATTCTAGAACAGAAAAAATTTATAGTGGTAGAAACAAGATCCGGATCACATGGTTGCTTCTGGTGGAGAGGGAACCTGACTGGCAAGAGACATGATGGAACTTTCTGGAGTGATAAAAATATCCCATCTTGTGGTGTAAGTTACACAAATGCATGCATTTTTCAAAACTGATCCAACTATACACTGAAAATGTGAGTATTTTAATTATGTGTATGTAAATTATGCACAAGTTAAAAAATTTAAACTATTACAGAATTCCCTCAGTCCCATTCAGCGAGATTTCTAATTAGTTAAGTAGAGGAAATTCAACAGTTTCTTCTTAATCTTTATTCTTCTATCTACCCACTTGTAGTGCAGTGCAAACAGAACCAAGTAATTCAAGTGACTTTCATTTTAAGATCTACAAACCTCTAGAAATTATCTTCCTGCTCCTAATACAAATCAGTAACTCATTTTTCCCCATTTTATCTCAAAGTAAGATCCTGTCTTTTGAGGTATTTCCATAGAATGGAGAAGAGTTCATGCTACTTTACATATGGAAACTGAGACTTCAATCTCAAGCTTAGAGGCTGATCTCCAAGACTTTGCTATTACTTTCACTTCGTAAGACAAGACTACTGATCCCATATTAGTTTAAAAAAAAAAAAGTTAGAAGCCATCTTTCTTTGCAGCTATCAAATATGTGACCACCTATTTAGCTTTCACAAAATCTAGCCATTTATGTTTTATGGCTGACTCTTTCCTTGTGCTCTTTTTCTTAAGAGGTAATTTTTCTTAGCAAAGGCATTGCTCAACAAAACAGGCTACATCAACAGCTTGAAAATAATTCATCTAAAGATGTGTTTTTCTCCTTGACATCTGAAGAGTGGTTCCCAGATGTATTGCTGGTATCCTCTGGCACTTTTTACAAGAATCTAAAGCTCCCAATCTTCTAATAGGTTTTGACTTTTGTCACTGCTAATGAGTTAGCTATAAAATTCTCTCCAAATTTCATTGTACTCCCCTTGTGTCCTGATATGTTTTGTCTTTTATACTGACAGTAAGCTACCCCTCCATGTCCCCTAATGCTATCCTTCTTATAAAATTTGCAGCCTAAAAAGCACTATTTGCCATAACTTACCCTCTTTTCAGCTCTATCAAGAAAACACAATTCAATTTTATTGCTTTATGTTTTGAGCATTAAAAAATAAGCAGCTGAATAGTTTTTCAGGTTATTTCTCACATTAATTAATTAAATGCAGATTGCTTTATTTTCTTCAATCATTCTATAAATTCTCCAATTATTTTAGAGAGTTGACCACATAACAATCTTAATCTTGTACTCTTTCAAATTCATCTGCTTATTTAGGATTTTCAGTTTTGAAATTACCTTATAGTGTGATTGCCTTATAGTTTTTAGCATAAGATGCTAACCTTGTGTCATTTTAATTCAAACGGAATCTGTTTTTTTCAATACACCTTATGTACTTAAAGGATATCTTCTAGTTCTTGAGAAGACAGAATAGTCTAGAACCTATGATACTGGCTTGACTGAATTCTATGTGTTTACAACATTTTAGGTGATTAGGAGGGTAAAGACTTCACTACCTACAAAATCTCATAGAGGCAGTTGGAAAAAAATAAAGTGAAGAGCACCAAGCAAAAATTTTATCTTATGTCACTTCTAAAGGTATACATCAAAATTACAACACTCATAGAAGTTTACTTCAGCGAGGAGTACTAAAGCACATGTCGTAATTCCAAGATATAACCAGATCCAAAAGTTACATTTTATTAAGGATTGTACCATACACAACAGGATAAAAGTTTTTGTTAAAAGTTTGAGGCGGGGTGCAGTGGCTCATGCCTATAATCCCAGCTCTTTGGGAGGCCGAGGCGGGCGGATCATGAGGTCAGGAGTTTGAGACCAGTCTGGCCAACACGGTGAAACCCTGTTTTTACTAGAAATACAAAAATTAGCCGGGCGTGGTGGCACGCGTCTGTAATCCTAGCTACTCAGGAGGCGAAGGCAGGAGAATCATCTGAACCCAGGAAGCAGAGGTTGCAGTGAGCCAAGATCTCGCCACTCCACTCCAGCTTGGGTGACAGAGCGAGACTCTGTCTCAAAACAAAAAACAAACCAAAAAAAAAAAAAAAATGTTTGCAGGTAGGCCAGTCATGGTGGCTTACACTTTTAATCCCAGTACTTTGGGAGGCTGAAGCAGGCAGATTGCTTGAGCCCTGGAGTTTAAGACCAGCCTGGGCAACATAGTGAAACCCTATCTCTACAAAAAATACAAAAATTAGCCAAGTGTGGTAGTGTGTGCCTGTAGTCCCAGCTACTCTGGAGGCTGAGGTGGGAGGATCACCTGAGGTGGGAGGATCACCTGAGACTGGGAGGCAGAGGTTACAGTGAGCCACAATGGTGCCACTGCACTCCAGCCTGGGTGACAGAGCGAGACCCTGTCTTAAAAAAAAATAAAGGTTTGCAGGTAGTTTCTCTGTCAGTTCTTTTTTATCTCTGTTTAAATATTAATTAGCCACTCAATAAACCTTGGCCCTTCTCACACTAGATCACGGTTTCTCAACCGTGGCACTACTGACATTTTGGGATTTGTAATTCTTTGTTTTGAGGGGTTGTCCTATGCATTTGGGGATGTTCAGCAGCAACCCTGGCTTCTACCCACTAGGTACCAGTAGTATCTCTCAGGTATAACAATCAAAAATGTCTCTAGACATTGCCTAATGTCCCCTGAAAGGTCAAATAGACCTTGCTTGAGAACCACTACAACTAGACCAAAATATATTTTTAAAAATCTCAGCAAAGATTTAGGAATTATCTAAAGCTGTAAAGTACCTTCCAAGGTTGCTGTCCAGGTATCATATAAACTAAACTAATTTAGAACAAAACTTCTAGAGTAAAGCATAATTCTTTCTATATATCAGGTACTAGATCATTACTATCTGAACTAAAGAATTATGAATAATAATTCTATTTGTGCTAGACATTTTTGTTAGATGGGCTACTTCCTACTCATTTTAAAGATTAAATGAAACACAAAGAGAGATTTAATAGATGAAATACAAGGTGCAGTCAGAAAGGAAGCCAATGTGATAGAAATTTTAAGCATTCTGATTCATTTTTATTACTGACATTTCAAAAGATGCAAGATAACATTTACTGCTTGACTTCTATGTATCTAGGCGCTATTACATACATGTTATTACCTAGTTAATTCATGAAGTCTTAAGAAAATGTAAACACTTAAGAAAATAGAAAATGGACATATTTTCTTAGTATTTTTGTAAAATTGTTTAGTTGTTAAATGTTATACAGAGAGAACATTAAGAGGCTTTACTCTTACAGGTCAATTGTCATATTCTTTTGAGGAGTATGATTCATAAGAAATTATACTATAGTTTATTGTCCTCCTTTTCCTCTCATTCTAAATTATGACATTCCTCTCAAAATGTAAAGTTGAAAGACTACTTTCATGATATCCACTTCCTCTGATAATCTTATAGAATTGGAACCATGGCCTTATGAACTATTTTCATTCATCAACTCTTTGGCCAAGTAAACACTGTTCATGATTTTTAAAAGGCTGATACCAAAGAAAAATTATGATTCAACTTGAATTTTGAACAGATATAAAGGCTCTTACCTACAAGCAACATTTGGATCAGCATTTCTTGAAAGTAGTAGCTCTACACACTTCAAGATCTGTTCCTCTGAGCCATGAGCAGAACATGCAGTTATCAAAATAGTTTGCTTATCTATAGTGAATAGAAAAGTGAGGAAAAACCCCCATACATCAAGAGCATCTATTTGATGTCTTTACCACTCAAAACATTCTATTATTGCACTCTAAAACTCTATAACCTCCTCCTAAATCTCTCTCTTAGCAGATAACTTTGTCTTCCTTCATCAAAAGATGAGATTAGACATGAATCCCTTCAGTCCCCAAAGTTTATCTATAAGTCATTTAACTTCCTTCCCCTTTTATTCCCATTACTTCAAGAGAACAGAAAGTGGTTAAGGACATGGACATAGCCACATTGTCTGGATTTGAACAGTTTTTGTTAAAATTCGCCTTGCTAAACTCATGTTTGGGAAACAATGATCTATATTCTCTGATTTCACTTCTTACCCATTTGAAAGCTCCTGAAATCCGGCTTATAAACTACCCTACTGAAATTGCTGTAACTGCCACATCCATTGGTTTGGTTTCTTTTCAGTACTTTTGTACTTGATCTTTCTGAACTCACTGTTTCCTAAAACTCTTCTTCCCTTGGCTCTCATGGTGTCAGCAAAGATTAGAGTAAATTAAACACAAAAAACACCTATTTTGAATTAAAACTTCAAAACAGGTCACCACAGCTATGATTCACATTAGTGGCTCAATATTGACAGAGCATATTCTAGTCCCAGTACTGCCACTGAGAAACTGTAAGTTCTGTGATGTCTTAACATCTCATTAGATCTAATATACAGATAAGAACCTAATATCTGCCCTTTGTATGTGATAGGGTTATTGTGGGACACATAAAGGAACTTATATGTACATTCTGTGAAAAATATATTTTATAACTCTAAGTATCCCTCTGATTACAAGGAGGGAGAAGTATAAAATTAACAATTATTAATTTTTTGAGAATATTTTATACACTTTTGAAAACCTCATTCCTAAGCATAGCTTTCATTGAGTAATTTTTCTTTTTTTGAGACAGTGTCTCACTCTGTTGTCCAGGCTGGAGTGCAGCAGCATGATCATAACTTACTGCAACCTCAAACTCCTGGGTTCAAGCAGTCCTCCTGCCTCAGCCTTCTGAGTAGGTGAGGTTATAAGTGTGTGCAACCACCTCCGGCTAATATTTTTTTATTTTTAGCAGAGACAAAGTCTCACTATGTTGTCCAGGCAGATCCTGAACTCCTGGGTTCAAGTGATCCTCTTGCCAAGGACTCCCAAAGTGCTAGTGCTAGGATTATAAGCATGGGCCACTATGCCTGGCCAAGTGATATTTTTAAATGATACCATAAAAAGAAAAACTTAACAGAAAAAATTAAACATGAAACTGTTAAGACAGAAATGTATGTAAACTATATAAATGAGAAAAAAGAATAAAATTGTAGGTATAAAATTAATGTAAAAATCAATTCTAAAATGAAACCTATACCTGAAATTATGAAGCAAATTTAGTTGTCTATTGAAAATATGTTACAAATAAGTAATCAGGAATTCAATGTAATAATTAAACTCGATTTGCTCATATACTCTTGTTCTTCTAACACTCAAAGTACTACTGAATGGAAATTATTTAGTAACAAGGACAAAGATGGATTTCATGAACTATCTTTGAAACAACTTTAAGTGATGTAATTTGGAGTTTAGTTTAAAATTCCAGACTGATTTTCAAGTAATTTGCCACTAAATTACAAGCTTTTTAATGTTTCTTCCAAAGAATTTTTCCTTTAAAAACAACCAAAACCTTAAAGTTAAAGGTATATAATAACAACCAGTTATAAAGATACTGTAACTGGAATTTATGTTTTTGGAAAGAGTTTTTCAGAATATGTATGGCTTCTAATTTGATTTTGTATACTATTTACATAATATAATAAATAGAAAGGTTACTTCAAACTGCTTTAGTTTTTTTTCACTTCATATAATAGCTACTTGGAAATAAGGAATCACAGTAAGCATAATCATTTAAGTTATCTGAAACATCTTACCCTTCTCAAAGCTTGCATTAGCACCTCTGTCCAGAAGGACCCGAACCAGTTCTGCATTGGCAACACTAGCAGCATACATAAGGGGAGTCCATCCATACTGAAAGGTGGAATCTACACTAATGCCTGTCAATATAAAAACAAGCTTTTAAAAGCCCACTACCACCAAAGAAAAAAATCAGCCACCTTATATGCTTAAAGTACTGTGTAAAGTGACGTACATCAAGTACTTTATTCCACCACGGGAAGTTTTGGTAATAATGGCTTCCAAAAAATAGAAAATAATTCTATTGGGACGTTAATACAATTTGCTAAGTTCAGTTTCGCTACAGGCACTACGTTCCAAGAGACTGATCTGACTGATGTTTAATCATATAATATGTAACTGAGTATGTATATATTATAACAGGTTTTTACATGCTACCTTTTTTTCTCTAGGGGAGCTGGGAAAGGTTTCACAGAGGTAAAATGCCTTTTAAATTAGAATATTATCCCTGGGCAATATCAATTATCTCTATGGTTGAAAATACCACATATATCCCTCAAAAACCTTTAACTTTACTCCTAACACTAAACTTACCCATGGGTGACTTATAAAACATGAAGCTAAAAAGACAGGTTAAGGTTAGATTATGAAAGCTCTCTTAAGAAATGCAGACTCTGTTTTTGATCCAGAAAATGACATCATTACATATGTATTATAAAGACAACATAGATACCACTATTGAAAATGGGACAGGAAGCAAGGAAACTAGTTATAAGGCAGGAAGTTTATAAGAAAATCAGAGAAAGGGCAGTGGAGAGAGAAAGGAAGGAAAACAAAAGGACATTTCAAAGACAGGGTCATCAGAATTTAAAATTACTTTGAGGAGGAGGTATGATGGAAAAGAACAAATTAAAAATGACTATCAAGTTCTATCTTGGACAATCGAATGACAAGCAGTGAGCTAAAATAAAAGGAGATATCAGGTACTGAAAGTAAGTTTTGTTTTTGTTTTTTTGTTGTTCTTTTTTAGATGGGATCTCACTCTGTCACCCAGGCTGGAGCACAGTGGCAGGATTATGGCTTACAGCATACTCAACCTCCCAACTAGCTCCGACTATAGGCACGTGCCACTATGCCGGGATAATTTTTTTTTTTTTTTGTAGTGGTGGAATCTCACTATGTTGCCACGGCTGGTCTCAAACCCTTGGCCTCAAGCAATACTCCCACCTTAAGCCTCCCAAAGTACTGGGATTACAGGTGTGAGTCACTGGTTCTGGCCAAGAGATCATGACTTAAGTAGCAATCTTTCTCTTAAATCTATGAAATATTTGCTAACCGCAAGGAAACAACATTTTTGTTTCAAAGAAGGAAAACTTGCATGTGAAACACCACTGAAGGTGGGCCTGCCTTTAATACCTTGTAATTTACAGGTTCTATTGTCTTTGGCTATAAAATGTCCTATGCGCACAGATTAAGGTCACATCACAGAAGAAATGCAGACTTGGTGGGGGGTGGGGGTGTCACTTTTTTGACTGTATAAACACTGGGTCACTGAAAGACTACATATGTCTAATTTCTAATTGTCTAATTTTAATTGATATAAGGTACATAATAATCATTGGGAGAAAACATTAAACCATCTTAGTATAGACATATACTGCCAGCCCTACTTGTCTTCTCTAACAAGTCTTCCTCTTTAAACTGCTTCAATTGAAAGCATATCAATGAGATCAGAGAAAAGATCATTGTTTTCTCAATTTACTGAGAGTACTGCTCAAACTGTGATAGCAAAGATAGAAAGGAAAAGATGTGAAGAAAAAGAAGCAAAGGCCAGGTGTGGTGGCTCACGCCTGTAATCCCAGCACTTTGGGAGGCGGAGGTGGGTGGATCATGAGGTCAGGCAAACGAGACCATCTTGGCTAGCACAGTGAAACCCTGTCTCTACTAAAAATACAAAAAAAAAAAAAAAAAAAAAAAAATTAGACAGGCACGGAGGCAGGCGCCTGTAGTCCCAGCTACTTGGGAGGCTGAGGCAGGAGAATGGCGTGAACCCAGGGGGCAGAGCTTGCAGTGAGCTGAAATCATGTCACTGCACTCCAGCCTGGGCAACAGAGCGAGACTTCGTCTAAAAAAAAAAAAAGCAGCAAATGTGGCATTATAGTATAAAATTCTTACTAAAATTCTAACTTAATGTTTAACCTATAATATTTAACATAAATTACTAAGCACATATTATGTTCCAGGCATAGTGCAAAAAAAAGTAGGTTTCAAAAAGATGAACACCGTATATTTACACAGCTCAAAAACATTCAAAGTAATACTATATTGTTTAGGGATATAGTAAAAGTATAAAGATACTCATAAGAATGATAAACATCAACTATAGAAAAGTAGTTATCTCCAGAGGGGGTACCTTTCTTTTCTGAATGTCTAAAATATGTCATACTTTAAAGAAAATTGAAAATCATAGTACACAGAACAAAAACTGGAGACATCTTCAAATGGTTAAAAGTGGTTGACTCAAAATGTGCTTTTATTTTTAGAGTTTTCAATTGGTGCAGAAACATGTTTCAAGAACAACAATGACTTTGAAAGGCAAAAAATTAACAATATTTTAAAAAACAGTTACATAATGACATCTGGAAGGAAATACCCTAAAACAGGAGTTAACCTGTGAAAGTGAGGCATCAGCAGTAAGGGGAACGAGAGTGAGGACAATGGTAAAGACATCTTTCTACTTCTACCTACATTTCTATTACTGGCTTTTAAAAATGAACTTTAAAAATTTTTGTAATTAAAAACAAATTTCAAATGGTTGACTAAATAACTACTTAGCAGCAGGCTCTGTTCAAGAGACTGTAAACCTCTAATCTGCCCATCAATCATATCAAGTCTTAATCCTTCAAAAGCCTCTATCATGTTAACTGTACCTAGTCCCATTACTCCTAAGGCAAATTTTCTTTTCTAAAACAAATCTCTGCTTATTCCACCCCATGCTATGTACACTATACATATATTAACATTAGGTATTCAGGCCTCTTTCTACTTATTCAGAGTTTATTCCATTTCATTTTTCAATTACAAACTCAAGTTCCACTGTCCAAAAAGTCATACAGATCCTTCTCATATCTTACAAGAATAACAGCTAATGTTTACATAATTTCTATGTGTTCTAAGTCCTTTAAAAGTGTATTTTAATTTTCCCCCTTGCCAACAACACTTTGATATAATAATCCTCATTTTAAAACGGACAGAAATGGAAACTTAGGAAGATTTGGTAATTTATTCAAGGTTACAAAGTCATCAAGTGGCACAGTTAGTAATCAAACCCAGATCTGTCTTGTTTTCAAAATTATTTACTTTTCAGTAAACTATGCATTGATTCTAGCATAGAATAAAAACATTATGCTATATATAATCACATCTAACTACCCTGTGTGTGAATGTTTTGTATCTACAATGGCAAAAACTACAATTACTTTTGCACCAACCTAAAGTAAATGCTTGTTATTCCTTTGAGTAATTTCAATCATTATAATCAATAATTTACATTTCTATGTGAAGGTAATTAAAATTTTTTTTCATTTAATCCACACACACAAAAAAAGTCATGAAGCCCAGGACAGAATTATGATGCTTTACATAAAGAAAGTGATGCTCTCTGGCTAGGCGCGGCGGCTCATGCCTGAGATCTCAGCACTTTGGAAGGCCAAGGTGGGTGATTACTTGAGGTCAGTAGTTCAAGACCAGCCTGGCTGACGTGGTGAAACCCTCGTGTCTACTAAAATTACCAAAATTAGCTGGGCTTGGCGACAGGTGCTTTTAGTCCCCACTACTCGGGAGGTTGAGGTGGGAGAATCGCTTGAATCCCGGCCCCCAGATGGAGGCTGCAATGAGCCAAGATGGTGCCATTGCACTCCAGCAGGGCGACAGAGCGACGCTTCATCCCCTCCCCTCAACCCCCCAAAATGAAAATTGATGCTCTCAAAGCTTAAATGCCTCTTCCAAGAAACCAGAGTAGGCAATAAGCTGGAAGAAATTATCCATATACTTATTCTGATTCCTAGCTCAGGCCTCATTCCACCAGCACAAAACAAAAAACTGTAACGAGAAAAACTAAAACGTACTCGAACCAATTCTTAAGAAACATACAACAGGCAGGGCACGGTGGCTCATGCCTGTAATCCCAGCACTTTGGGAGGCCGAAGCAGGCGGATCACGAGGTCAGGAGATCGAGACCATAGTGGCTAACATGGTGAAACCCCGTCTCTACTAAAAATACAAAAACAAAATTAGCTGGGTGTGGTGGCAGGTGCCTGTAGTCCCAGCTACTCAGGAGGCTGAGGCAGGAGAATCACTTGAACCCGGGAGGTGGAGGTTGCAGTGAGTCAAGATTGCGCCACTGCACTCCAGCCTGGGCCACAGAGTGAGATAACATTCTCCCTCACCCCCCACCACCCAAAGAAAAGAAAAGAAAAGAAAAAAGAAACACACAACATTACAGCAGAGTAAATTAAGAATGATCAGAGTGGGACAGGATTAGAGTAGGCCTCTTGCTTGAAGGAGGTGGAAGAACTGATGGAAGATAAATAGGGTGGCATTCCAAATGTAAGGAGAGAGTAAGAAAATAAGACAGGCAGGACTCAGAGTCAACGAAGATTATGCAGGATATTATGATAACTTATATTAACATTTGTTGTGTTTCCATTAGAAAAGCAACATAAATCTTTTAAAAATAAGGAATCCTTGCAAACTTAAAGACAGTTGTGTTCAGGTGAAACTGTCCTTATCTCTCACCAGAATCTAGGAGCTCCTGGACCAATGAAACATCTCCGATGGTCATTGCTTTCTTAAATTTTTCTTTCTTTTCCTCAATGGGTAACAGCCCTTTCAATTTCTAGAAAAGTGAACAGTTTTAAAAAATTCTTGTTATATATAGTTTTGTTTCCACCTCATCAGGAAACAATAATGTTTGGTTAAGTACATAGGTTTTTTTCTTGGCTTTATTCTGACCGAGATACAAAGTTTGAAAAGAATTCGTGTCGAAAATTATCTTTCAAGGGAATAGGTAATGATGGATCCAAACCCAAGTGAAGAGCTACGACGATCTAAAGAAGCGTATTTGGTGGTAACCACAGTTGGGGAACAGGAGGAAATTTGTGCGGGTTTGGTTAACTACAAACGCCCGTATTTCCACTGAGAAAAAGGAAAATACATGCGAGGAAGTGAGAGGTTTCACCAGGCTGGGCCTCGCCTTCGAGGGCCAGGGAAGGCCGAAACCAGGTGTGGTCAAGACAAGGCCTCCTCTGCTACCTGAGACGTCCGGTCGAGATACCCAATCTCCCAGCCGTCATCCTCGCTCTCGCTACTCTCCCCTCCGCCGGCCACTGGCAGGCCGCGTAGCGCTCCCGCCGCCATGCTACCCAAGGCAGCTCCCTGTGGGCAACGCGCGTCCTTCAGTTCTCCAGGCGCATGCGCACCGGGGTGGGGCGGAGCGTGCGAAGGGATGCGCGGGAAGCAGCGACGTGCAAGTGCTCGGGTCTGGAGCCTTCCAGCGCAGGCGCACAGCGGCCCGTTGCTCACCTACCTACCCCGTCCCTAACCTTGAGGCTTCTTGAGGTGAAAACCTGGCGTGTCTAACACTGGTGACGAAGTTCGTGCGCCAGGCTCCTGCTGGCACTTCCAGTTCCTCTCAGAGACTTACCTTTCGACCTCTTTAAAGTATTTGCTTGATGAAATTCTTGCTCGGCAAAGAATGCCTTACGTGTGGCAGGAGCACACTAGGATTTAATGGCAAGTAAGACTAGACTTTCCCCGCCATCCTTTTCATCTGCCTCCCTGCCAAACGTCTGTTAAATCTGTATCCCCTGGGAGACGGAATCTTCCTCGGAGCACCTCGCTCAGGAGCACCAGTCAGACATTCAAGAAGCCCTTACACAAGTAGATGCCGACAAAGGAGCCAGGAGAAAATACTGCCGCAAAGAATTCTTCTTTTTCATTTCATGTGATCTTAGATTTCACCTTAGATTTAGAAGCTTCAGACCATCAAAACACTTCACCGCTATGTAGTGTAGATGTCCTAGAGGAAAATATGAAAGGAGGGGGTTTCTGGGTACAGTGGATCCAAAGAGCCAGAAAGAAAGAAATGACTTAAACGGTCAGAGAGCAAATAATTCAAACAGCTCCAGGTGGAAGTGGCCCAAGCTCAAACTCATCTTTCTACATGGTAGAAATGTAGAAAGGTTCTAGACGGTAGAACTTATAGATGCTGGTAACACAGTGATTTTCTTCCCCACCAAAGAAAAGTAGATCTACCACGAAACAGGGCGTATTATATGTATCTCAAGATAATAGCCATGCACTATTATTTGAAAGCTTTTGCTGTTTTTTTTCTTGCAGATTCTTTGATAAAAGATTTTGAAATTATGTACTTCAGAGACTCAGAGGTAAGTATTTTTAAGTAGTTTAGCTATTTGGGGGCCACATCTGTCTTTCTCAATGCATTCATTCAATAAATGCTAGGGATTACTTAGTACAGCCAAGTGCAACTGGGTTTGGGGAGACAGCGTCAAAGATAAACCATGGAGCCTCATGGAGCTCACTTTAATAAGTAGAGTTAGACAATGTGCAAGGAAACAAAAACACTATTGCAGATTGTAAGTGCTTCAAAAGAAACAAGTGTGCTCAGTTTCTGGAATCAAACCACTTTGGTGTTTCCCGGAGGAGTCACTAGCTGTAGCTGTGTGCCCTTGGGCAATTTACTTAGCATCTATCTGGGTATGAGCTAACTTATCTGTAGAAGGGAGGTGATGATAGTACCCACCAAATAGAATTGTTATGAGGACTAAATGAAGTAATAGGCTTGAAATAAGGTCTGTCTCAATGTAAGAGGTAGATTTTAGATAGGGTAGTCAGACCTGTGCAGAGTCCTAAATAACAAGCCATATAAGAGTGGAAGAATAGAGCTTTCCTGGCAGTGGAGAGGAATATTACCAAGGTCGACAAACAGAAGGAAAAAAAGCTCATCACTGACCATTAGAGAAATGCAGATCAAAACTACAATGAGATATCATGTCAGCCAGTCAGAATGGCAGTTATTAAAAAGTAAAAAACAACAGATGCTGGTGAGGTTGTGGGGAAAAATAAATTCTTTTACACTGTTGGTGGGAGTGTAAATTAGTTTAACCATTGTGGAAGACACTGTGGTGATTCCTGAAAGATCTAGAGGCAGAAATAGGATTTGACCCAGTAATCCCATTACTGGGTATACACCCAAAGGACCATAAATCAGTCCTTCATAAAGATATGGGCACATGTATGTTCATTGCAGCAGTGTTCACAATAGCAAAGACATGGAATCAACCCAAATGCCCATCAATGATAGACTGGATAAAGAAAATGTAGTACATATATGCCATGGAATATTATGCAGCCATAAAAAGGAATGAGATCATGTCCTTTTCAGGGACATGGATGGAGGTGGAAGCCATTATCCTCAGCAAGCTAATGCAAAAACAGGAAACCAAATGCTGCATGTTCTTACTTATAAGTGGGAGCTGAATGATGAGAACATGTGGACACAAGTGGGAACAACATATACTGGGGCCTGTCACAGGGTGGGGGTTGGGAGGAGGGAAAGCATCAGGAAGACTAGCTAATGGATGCTGAGCTTAATACCTAGGTGATAAGATGATCTGTGTAGCAAACCCCCATGGCACATGTTTACCTCTGTAACCTGCACATCTTGCATATGTAGCCCTGAACTTAAAATAAAAGTTGGGAAGAAAAAAATAAAACAAAACAAAAAAACACTTCTAGGCACCAAGCAAAGAATTCAACACTCAATAAGCCTCCAGGAACAAGCCTGGACTGGCATGCATTATTGAACTCAAAATATATTTTGTCTCCTCTTTGGCTTTTTACATGCCTTGCCCCCTTGCTGAATACTTATTTTCTCTGTTTCCAAATCAAAATAGTAGATAATACTAAGCAATTAAGTACTCTCAAGTTTATATATTGTGTGTTCAAAAGACCAGCCAACATTTCTCATTTTCATGTTACAGTGATGTAATCCAACCCCGAGAGTACACTTAACTCTTAAATGAACTGAATAAATTAAAATTTTAAGCTGAAAAAAAAAAAAAGGATTTGGTGACTGGATATAAAGGATGAGCAGGAGAGGGGAGTCAAAGCTGGTAAGACAAGAAGAAGAAGGAGGAAAAGTTTGAGGAAACAGGTAAGCTTTGTTCTGCAGAGACACATCTAAAAAGCTAAGGAACATCCATGTCCAGTTAAGGTCCAGAGTTCCCCAGAGAGGCCTGGGCTATCCAGCTTTAGAAGTCATCTTCCTAAGAAGTAATAATGGACATATTAAAGTAATAATGTTATCAAAGGAGAAGGGATAGGATAAGATGAGAGGGTCAGGAATATATTCTTAGGGACTATTTGTTTTTTTTTCCTGTTTTTTTAATTATTATTTTCAATTATTATACTTTAAGTTCTAGGGTACATGTGTACAACGTGCAGGTTTGTTACATATGTATACATGTGCCATGTTGGTGTGCTGCACCCATTAACTCGTCATTTACATTAGGTATATCTCCTAATGCTATCCCTCCCCCGTCCCCTAACCCCACGACAGGCCCTGGTGTGTGATGTTCCCCATCCTGTGCGCAAGTGTTCTCATTGTTCAGTTCCCACCTATGAGTGAGAATATGCGGTGTTTGGTTTTCCATCCTTGCGATAGTTTGTTGAGAATGATGGTTTCCAGCTTCATCCATGTCCCTACAAAGGACATGAACTCATCCTTTCTTATGGCTGCATAGTATTCCATGGTGTATATGTGCCACATTTTCTTAATCCTGTCTATCATTGATAGACATTTGGGTTGATTCCAAGTCTTTGCTATTGTGAATAGTGCCAGAATAAACATACGTGTGCATGTGTCCTTAAAGCAGCATGATTTATAATCCTTTGGGTATATACCCAGTAATGGGATGGCTGGGTCAAATGCTATTTCTAGTTCTAGATCCTTGAGAAATCGCCACACTGTCTTCCACAATAGTTGAACTAGTTTACAGTCCCACCAACAGTATAAAAGTGTTCCTATTTCTCCAGATCCTGTCCAGCACCTGTTGTTTCCTGACTTTTTAATGATCGCCATTCTAACTGGTGTGAGATGGTATCTTATTGTGGTTTTGATTTGCATTTCTCTGATGGCGAGTGATGCTGAGCATTTTTTCATGTGTCTGTTGGCTGCATAAATGTCTTTTGAGAAGTATCTGTTCATATCATTTGCCCACTTTTTGATGGGGTTGTTTGATTTTTTCTTGTAAATTTGTTTACGTTCTTTGTAGAGTCTGGATTTTAGCCCTTTGTCAGATGGGTAGATTGCAAAAATTTTCTCCCTTTCTGTAGGTTGCCTGTTCACTCTGATGGTAGTTTCTTTTGCTGTGCAGAAGCTCTTTAGTTTAATGAGATTCCAGTTGTCAATTTTGGCTTTTGTTGCCTTTGCTTTTGATGTTTTAGACATGAAGTCCTTGCCCATGCCTATTTCCTGAATGGTATTGCCTGAGTTTTCTTCTAGGGTTTTTATGATTTTAGGTCTAACATTTAAGTCTTTAATCCATCTTGAATTAATTTTTGTATAATGTGTAAGGAAGGGATCCAGTTTCAACTTTCTACATTTGGCTAGCCAGTTTTCCCAGCACCATTTATTAACTAGGGAATCCTTTCCCCATTGCTTGGTTTTGTCAGGATTGTCAAAGATTAGATGGTTGTGGGTGTGCTCTCCAGCAAGGGCTCAGAACTAGGCTGCGGCTGAGATGGCTGAAATGGTAGAAGTAAACTTCAGAAGGTAGGTAATAATGAACTTTTCTTGTTTTGGGGATTGATTATTTCTTTAGGAAGCCACTAAAGGAAAGGGATGACTTCAAGGGCCTAAGAAATAGTAACTAAAGAAGCAGGAGACATGGAAGAGATCAATGCCTCAAAAATCTTTCACTGAATCATAGTCTAAGATAATAACAATCACAGCAATAATAATGATAATAAATTCATTTTATGGACTTTTCTTATATTAAGTCGCTTAATACTCACACAGTCCTATTGAGGTATATGCTATCTCAAGTTTACGGAAGGAATTAGAGGCACAGAAAGGTAATGTTATCTGCCCAATATTATCTACCCAGGAGGACAGGAAACAGTTGGCTCTGCAGTCCATGCTTTTAGCGATTTTTGTTTGTTTGTTTTTTGACAGGGTCTCACTCTGCTGCCCAGGCTGGAGTGCAGTGGCATGAACACTGTTCACTGCAGCCTCAACCTCCTGGGCTCAAGCAATCCTCCCACTTCAGCCTCCTGAGTAGCTGGATGTATGCCACTATGCAGGCTAATTTTAAATTTTGTTGAGATGGAGTCTCATTGCATTGCCCAGGCTGATCTCAAACTTCTGGTCTGAAATGATCCTCCTGCCTCAG